GATGCAGTGACCCGGCTGATCCAGTATGGAGTTCTCTACGTAGCAGAGGTCAGTTTACACACCCAGCTCTCTTTGCTGGTGGACAAAAAAATGAAAGTAATCCTGGCAGTTGACTCTTGGTGAATATCTTGGGAAGTAGCGTTAACAATAATAGGTTATGTGTAGTATGTGGTGTGGCACTCTTCCATGGCCCACGTGGTCTAATTTAAGTGTTCTGTGTGTGTGTGTGTCAGGAGGACCAGGAGGAGCTGAGTCCCAGCCCCACAGAAGAACCTTGGCCCAAAAAGTTCCCCGAGCCCCTCTCCTGGAGAAGTGACGAGGAGGATGAGGATAGTGACTTTGGAGAGGAGCAGAGAGACCGCTACCTAAAGGTTTGGTTTAGTAATACTAAAAAGACTATTTCAGTTGTTTGTTACAGCCAACAGCACCACCACCACAGCATATTAAAACATGCACTGTCCAATGTCCAAGAGCTGTTTTCAAGTTGTTTGACATCAGCATCCTGACTTCTTCTAGGTGAGCGTCTCCACAGACCATCAGGAGTTCTTCGTCTTTCTGCAACAACTGCTCAGTCCAGTGCTGGAGGCCTACAGCGGCGCGGCCATCTTTGTCCACAGTCTGAGTCAGCCCATGACTGAGTCCGACTACACCCACAGGCTCTTCAAATACTTGCTCACCCGCACAGAGAGAGGAGTGGCTGCCTATGGTAACACTGCAATATTCCCCCACATAGTGTAAAAATGGAGCTCTTATTTAAATTCATTATCCAGGTGTAGCTCATACTTGGAATAAAGTTACAAAGGCCCCGGCCATCATTCCTTGTGCTATCCTTTGAGAATATAAAAAGGTTTGATTACAAAATCACAGCAGCATGGCCAGGTCCCACAGAGAATACTCCTGGCAGTTAACTGCAAACTAATCAACATACTAATGGAGATTTTTTTGAAATATAATTTAGTTGATGGTCAAATATAAATGGCCTGAGTACATTGTAACCATGTCTTCTTTTTTCAGGTGAAAGTGCCACTCATTACCTGGTTAAGAACACAGTGAGGACATTCAAAGAGCTTGGAGTAAGAGTGTTAATTTAAAATGTTTGGTTCAGTGTACTGAAAAAATTCACTTTATGAACACCTGTTTAAATGTACTACTTAGCTGGTGTTTTGCTAACAAATATAATACACCGTACTGTCGATAAAGTTTGGTTTGGATGGTGTTTCTTGTTCACTAGCTGAAGTTGAGTTGTTCCTCATGTCTGGTGATTTTTTCTGTAGGTCCTAAAGGAGAGAAGAGAGAACAAGGTGACCACTCTGGAGCTGAGCAGCACCTTTCTACCTCAGGCCAATCGGAACAAGCTCCTGCAGTACATTTTAGGTTTCACCTTGCTGTGACCAAGATGTCTTTCAGCCCAGCTAAGACCCCAGTCTCCTTCCAATAAAGGGCTTCTACTGGTTACTTCTAAACAATCCCAGGTGCTACTCTGTGGAAAGCTTTACCAGGAAGTGCCTTCGCATACAGTAAAGCTGCTAGCTGGAAGAGACTTGAAGCCAGTCTTCCCCTTTTGCTCCAGTCTGACTCCCTCTCTTAGAACTGTGCAGCTGATAAAACATGTATCGTTACTCTAAAGGGGGTGCCTATAGGGACTGACCTCTCTCTGTGAACTTTGTCTGTGAAATCAAGAGGTTTTAATATGAAGAACTGTAGACTATTAGAAAACACACTCAAGCTGGTTAGTAAATAAACACTTTTACAGTAATCTGAACTAATTAAGATGCCTTTCGTCTATACAAATAAACCACCAAAATATACATAGAAAACCATAGTAAATATATCCAGCTCCAGAGATATTATTTTAGGTCTTTCTGCTAATTGGTAAACCTGTATTCAGTGCACTCCATGATTATACAGTAGAAAACATGTTAAAATGTAGTTTGATGAAATTTTGAGAACAAATCATTGTACATAGGCCAAAAGAACAGTGTCTCTCGTTTGTGGTGCGTTTAAATGCACTGTAGTGTCATCAGATTTAATAATATAGCGCCATTAGAAAGCCAGTCTCCATGTAGAGTGTGTGCATATCCAAATTTTCACTTACAAAAATATTTGTAGAAATCAAATCATTCATGTAGTTAAGGTCAAAACAATAAGCAGCAACTCAGTTCAGCCATTCAAAAGTGTGTTCTTGGCAAATATAAAATGTACCCTTTGAAAGTCTGAAATCACAAGCCTCCACAGTTAAGTGCATTCAAACCGCTAATATCCAGGTGCATTCAGTTACACAATCCATCATAGGGTTTGAGTGAGTTGGATTCCTGCGTTTGCATAACAGCTGTTTTCAGTTTTCAACAAATGTTACATAACACCGCACTGAAAAGACTTAATACCAGCCACGATATCCACTTGAGTTCAAACGCAACAAACTCAGACTCTTTAGTCATGCCTTTCAGGGAAGCAGACATATGGGATTATCACCATTTTTTTATGTACTATAAATACATTATCAGAGGCTTTATCGCATGACTTCTGAGAGAGCAGTTTTTGCTCCAGTGGTTGGGCATTCGTAAGACAAAAGAACCACTGTGTCTGATCCATTTGAACTGAAGGTGAGGTCTTTAGTGGCTGGTTATTTGTGACAACGAGATTGCGTTTCTGTTGTATTGATTTGATTTGATTTATTTATTCTTTCAAGCATATAAAGACAGTTGATATGTCAACACACATAATTTTACACATATCCAGCAAATGCTAATCCAATATCAATTTGCTTATACCTAGTACATGGTTGAATGGAGTAGGAAGAAGTCAGACTTATCCAGTCCTACCCCATGACATCATCTTACATCACTGGTTTGCAAGCAGTATCTCTACATAGATAATTCTCTTCTACACCACACAAGTAATATACTAAAGAATTATTACAGATCATACAACATACAATCATACACCACACCCACAATGTTCCATCTAATTAATCATTAAACCTGTTCTTGCATATATCTTGATTGACACATACCTTTATACTGGTGGGAAGGTTGATGAAAGGACAGGATGTCTTTCACCTTTCTGTTGTTTACGTGGAAACGCAGTCTAAGGTTGATGAAAGGACAGGATGTCTTTCGCCTTTCTGTTTACGTGGAAACGCAGTCTGCTGTCAGGAGCAGTTGAGGTTCAGAACGCAATACAATCATCCTGAGTTGTCCAGTTTACATATGCTTTTCTTCTTGGTTACAGTAATGTTTCATTTCAGTTTTTCACCACTACTGTTTTACTGTTTTTTGTTTTATTGTAAAATATGTATTTAATTCTAAATCATAATAAGGTTCGGCGTCCCACTTAATGCTGGTGCATGAATGCACATGGTGCTGACAGGAAGAAGAGGAAGGCATGTGTTAGGCAGTGTCAGAGGAAGTTTGATGAACCCAAATCTAAGACCGACAATGTGAAGCCAGTGAATGTTAAAAAATGGCATTCTTGATATTTCAGGGCACTAACATTCAGGAGAATTGGGTGTCTAATGCTATACACTTAAATGAATGTTTATCCTGAAAGACACAGCCTACGACACTGTTTGTTACAATTAATAGATTTTTTTTTTAACATACAGCTTTATTTAAAAAAAAAAAACTAAAACCTTTTTCATGCTTTTTTTAATCAAATCTATGCGTGAATTAACCCACAAATGGAAAAGGTTACTCATCAGTGATTAACACTCATTGCATGTTGACAAATGGAAAGTATGCTATTTAAATGGGAATGTAATTAAAGCGCACAAAATGTCTATACTGAAAGTAAGTTGGAGCACCTTGACATTCAAAGCACTTCTGAGCCCACCATCTGTACGCTTACACGGAGGGACCCCTCCGCCAACACAAACCACTATATGTACTGTACTGCATGTTTCCTCTGGTCGCCTTTAGCCATCGACGCTTCAGTGTGAACTCTGCTTAACCTGAGAATTGTATTTTACAACGTAATGTGTGAACTGCTCGTGAGCGTTGTTGAGATTCACTGCTATTGAAGGTTCGTTAGCAAAATCCCACTACAACTATGTAACTTTGTAGAATAAAAAAAAAAACATGCCTGTATTTGGGGAGCAGTTGTCATTTTAATGCATTATAGTGTTCTTTGGTTGTGTTTATTGTTATTTTGTGCATGTTAAAGATTATTTTGTGTGGGAAACCGAAACACCGTAGATTGTAACTTCGAAAGGGGGGAGCAGAGAACGTTCACTATATGAAAACTCACCAGCTACTAAAAATAAGCCACATTTTGGTTCTTGCTTTCTCAAAGTGAAGCACAGTTGGCATTATTAGGTGGTGTTTTTAAATAAATTAATGCTAGATTAACAGTGGTCTTCTGTCTTTTTTGGAGGAGGTAAATGTTTTGGGTACCACCATTATTTATTTAATATAAAAATATTTTGTTCAGTTTGTCTGAAATAACCCTTGGTAAGTGACACCTATACTGTGGCATGTTTAACACTGCATGCTACATGTTTTCTCAAGCTCAAACACTTTTTTCATTCACCGTTATCACACTGTGTATCCAGACAGTTCGTTCTTGATGCATCAGTACACAGAACCTGTTTTATTTTTGTTTTTCCTCATATATGTCACAAAACACAGGAAGTGCTGTATCTGACGTTGTTGGTTGCGGGGGAAGGCGGGACAGGAGGAGGATATATGGAGGACTGAGATGTGCAGAAGCACTGTGGACATGAGGATGAAACCGAACAGGCACGTGTGCATCCTGCTACCAAACAAGCAGCACCTGGACTGCACTGCCACGGTGAGTGGCTTTCAGCTGCCTTTCATACTTTTTTATTTTATCCTATTTCTTCTTGGAATAGAAATGGATACTTTGAGTTGAGACTTGACTTTCTGAATCATGTGACAAACATTTCATAAGCTCTTGTGGTTTAATCAGTGTTGTTTTTAAAGAGTGATGCTAAACATTTAACAGTTTTTTTTTATCATAGTTGTCATTGTTACGATATGAAACATGGGCTACTCTTAAATATTTAGAGATATTTACAATCTCCATTTAGACAAGTTAACTTAAGAAGCTACCATTTTTGTATCATAATGGGACAAGGGAGATTTAATTGGTAAATCATTACAATGTTAGTCCTTGGTAAATGAACAAGGGAATGGATAAAATGTGCAGAGGAAATCAAGTAAGTACCGATTTTGGAGAATGTAGCTGTGGGAAGATGGGACCCACAGTCAGTACTGAACCACACAACTGTCTAATAATGCTAAAACCAAAACATCACCGTGGACACATGAGAATGTTTTGTGTCTCTGGTGTGCTGCTTGTTATTGTGTGTGTTTTTCAGGTGAAAGCCAGAGGCCGTGAGGTGTTGCCCAGTGTGTTGAAGCATCTTGGCGTCAGTGAACTGCAGGTCTTTGGTCTGGCTGTTCTCAGGGGTCAGTGTCTGTGTGGGAGTTCAGGAGGATATGTTTTTACTTCATTTATTGTGGCATGTTGTTAATGAACATACTATAACAACAAGGGCACTGAAGCACTTCAGCCCCTGAAGTTAAATAACATTAGTTATTGCTATTTTGTTTATTATACTGCACACAGTATCATCACAAGACCCTGTCTGTTATGTACCGTGGATGTGTGTATTTCTTCCTTAGATAATGAATACCTCTTTCTTGATTTGGACCAAAAGCTGAGCAAGTACTTTGGCAAAAGATGGAGCAGAGGATCTACGACAGTGAGTAGTTTGCTCTGAACAGTGAGTGCTGCATGTAGTGTGAACTGACACACAATCATCATTTATAATACAGTATGTTGTCTTGTATCTGAGGAGATGTTCTGTACAAACTTCTCTTGGTGTCATTATTGTTGTTCAGGGACAGATTTATTATCTTACAACTTCATGAACATCAGGTTTTTGTTACATATTTTTTGTTTCTGCAAATATTAACTAAACTGCCTAGAGGTGTTAACAAATGAATCTAAAGGTATCTGATCAACTGCTTATCAGAGGACCAACCCAGTTTCACCAAGTTTGATGAATTAATACTTATTATTTTTCATTTGGCACACCTGCTGTTGAGAAACATCTGGCTTATTTTCACGTTTTAATACATTTTTTGCTGAACTTCTAAAATGGTTTAATTTCAGAATTTTCACTGCTTTAATTTTGATTTATCAGATTTTCACTTAAAGAATTGGACTGAAACATTTTACCACCTTATAGGTTTTAAGTAATCAAACCTATTGTGAGCACAGATGTATGATCATATATAAACTCTGTTGGTGTATTTGAATTTATAGTTTGTATAAAACTACAAATGAGCAGTCACCACCACTGAGAAACAAAAAACGATAAAACACAGTATTTGATTTTTAGGACTTTTGATTTACATTTTGAATTCTGATTTATCTAGAACAAAGTTATGTTCCATACCTGAACTATAAAATTCTCCTTTATAAACATGTTTAAATATTTACACACTATTATTTACAGAATAGAGTACATTTAAATTTTAAGCTTTAAGAAGGAACTGACTGATCAATAAACCACCACTGAAAACTACTTGAAGAATTGTTTATCCTATATGTATAACTACATCTGGAATAATTTTCCTTTCACACTAAAAATATTTAATAATTATTTTAAAATTTCTCTTTGACTCTATTCTACATTTTCAGGTGCCATTCGTCGTCTTTCTGAGAGTGCAGTATTATGTAGCGAGTGGGCAGCTAATATTGTAAGCATCTTTTTGTGTTGTGGCAAATATTCATGTGCCTCTCTCTGCACATACCATGAATGTTCTGCCCTCTGCGCATGCTGTACCACTGTGTGTTTTGATGTGACATCCTCCTTGGTTGTTTCAGGAGCAGCAAAGTGCAGCAGCTCTACTACACTGAGCTGAGGCAGAAGTTGCTGCGTTCACAGAGCCGCCATCAGGAAGCTTTGCTCTTCCAGCTGGCAGCATCTGCGCTTCAAGCTGAAACCGGAGATCTGGAGCAGAGAGAAGGGAATGATGAAGAGGAGCGGCACAGACATTGCTTTCTTCCTGAAGATTACTTCCCCTCTTGGGTAAAAAAAAAAATAAATAAAAAGTGTTAACATTTAGACTAATTGTGAAATCCTAACATTTTTTAAGCATGTGTATGTAACACTACTGTATCCTCAGCTGATAAAGCGTCGCGGGAGAGACTATCTGCTTCAGCACTGCCCGCTGTTACATGGTGAGCTGAGAGGCCTGTCACATAACCAAGCCATCCTGCAGTTTATTAAAGAGGCCAACAGTCTGCAGGACGGACCGGTGACCTTCTACAGGATGAGACAGGTCAGACTGCAGAGTCACACTCAGCCTTTGAATTAACTGAGGTCAGAAAATCTGAGAGCTCTGATGCTGTTTGTTGCATTAAACACAGTATCTCAGACACAGTTGGTGTAATAATTGGAAACTTGTAGGAATGGTCCTGTGCTGTGTAAAAGCTTACACAACTTATAATAGCTCTAATAATTAGCTGCATTACTTCTCAGTCTAACTTACTAATTGGAAAAAGATGGGAAAAACCCTGAGTGTCACCTGTTTGGCCTCATCATGGCCCATCCTGACTCTCATTTCATTAGAATATTTAACTCAAACATGCTCTCTGCTACAAAATCTGTTATATGAACTCACATTTTATATTTGAAACTCTGTGTCTTCAGCTGTTATTTTATGTGCAGGAGAAAAAAGAGCTGAGAAGATCACTTGTTCTTGGTGTGGTATTGAAGGGAGTCCATATTTATCAGGTGGGTCCTTCTCGGATAACTTCACAAAAAGTTAGGGAATTCAGTCTGTGCATGTTAAGCCGTCAAGATTTTGACTTGTGAATGTAAATAAACTTTGTGGATCTTTTGTCATCAGTTTACTCTTGAGTTTGCATGTATTAAGAATGCAAATTGATCTGATTTCTCTCAAGGAGGTGGAAGGGAAACTGTGTCTATTGTATGATTTTTCCTGGACCGATATTGACCGATTCACTTTCCAGGTTGGTCCTAAAACTATCATACACACACACACACACCTGCATACTGACATATAAACAACATCAACCTCATCTCTAAATCTGCTTTCTCTTGCTGTACAGGGCAGTAGGTTTGAAATCACTGCCGTGGGCTCTCTGTGCCTCCAGAAGCTGGTGTATTACACTCATTCAGCTTTCCATTCCAAACACATCCTGAAGCACCTGAGTGACAGTCATCAGAACTGCATCAAAACCAGGGATGCAGTCGAATACATCCAACAGCTGGAGGACATGCAGGGTCTGTTCTTTCTTTTTAGTACATGTCCATGAGGTAATATAATTTCACATTTAGATTTGACTTCACATTCAAGCCCTAAATGCCATCATAAGTAGTTACAATATAAATAACTCTAATCAAAATATATTATTTGTCACTTTCATTTTAGACTCATCACAGCTTAGACCTGATAACAAAGTTTCCACTCAGCAGGTTTTGTTATTTCAATTTGAACACCTGGTACCATCAGAGAGCTTTTTTCACCCTCTTCCAATAAATACCTGTTTAATTAAACTAGATTGTTGAAGAAACCTTATGAAACAGTTATGGCCCTAAGGTTTCTCAAAACAAGCATGAAAAGTGAATAGTGTGGGACCTTTAAACCTGTTTCTTACCTTAATTCTGATCCAAAGGTGTCTTCCTCTTTGTCTCTCTGCAGCCAGTCAGTTCTACAAAGAGGCCTACATCTGTGACATAGCACGCTTAAGACAAAGGCTTCAACTTCAGAGCAGCAGCATCACATCCTCCGTGTCTGACTGCAGTGTCGCAGTGGAGACGAGCAGGGCCTGGTCCAGAGAGGAGCAGGATGATGTCTCTGTCACAGGTCGGATAAGAGGAATAAATGTGTTCCAAGATGTGACAGCTCTTAGTGCTAAGATATGCTTCTCAGCTACTTCTCATCTTATACAGTATATTCTGTTGCACTAAAGATTTCAAAGGCCATATAGGTGATAAATTTGTCCAGTAATTTTTGTAAAACAGCTTCGCAACTTTGACACAGAAGATTTATAAGTTAAAAGAGCAAATACAGGTGCAGCTCAATAAATTAGAATATCGTGGAAAAGTCCAGTTATTTCGGTAATTCAACTCAAGTAGTCAAACTTGTATATTATATAAATTCAGTACACACAGACTGAAGTAGTTTAAGCCGTTGGGTCTTTTAATTGTGATGATTTTGCTCACATTTAACAAAAACCCACCAATTCACTATCTCAATAAATTAGAATATGGTGACATGCCACTCAGCTAGTCTCAAAACACCTGCAAAGGTGTCCTGAGCTTTCAAAATGGTCACTCAGTTTGGTTCACTAGGCTACACAATCA